GATTGTTAGTAAATTTATATGTTACTGCTCTCGCCTTAGCCCACGTCTACAAGCTTATTTAAATCTAGACAACAGTTAAAACAATTCCATCCCCCCCAATCCCTAGGCATCAGTAGTTCAGTAATTTAGTAGTTCAGTAATTTAGTAGTTCAGTAATTTAGTAGTTCAGTAGTTCAAAGTCAACAAACCTTTCTTGTATAGGGCAGCTGAAAATGCCAACTGCATTTAAAACAGCATTAAAGACAGAGCTCTTCCAGGAGGCAACTCTAAATCATGATTTTTTTAAATCTGTATATGTACTCTCATTTGTATTTTAATGTATTTTATGTATTTTAATGATTTTATGGTACTGTATTTTAACTGTGGGTTTATGTAATAATAATAATAATAATAATAATAATAATAATAATAATAATAATAATAATAAATTTTATTTGTATACCGCCCATTGGTGACCCAATCCTTTTAATTGCGTTTTATATTTTAACATGTTGTATCCTACCTTGCCTCAAGGCTTGAGGAGAGGCAGGAAAGAAATAAAATCTCCTCTTCTTTCTCTTCTTCGCCTTCAGCGCTATACAGTCGGCCCTCCGTTTTCGTGGAGATCCGTTCTGGACCACCACCACCCCCATGAAAACAGAGACTCACCAATATTCAAGCCCCATAGGCTTGAATGGGGCACATGCCCCACTGAAATTAAAGAAGGTCGCCCCTCCGTGAATATTTAAGTCCGTGGATCTCACGTCCGCAAGAACGGAGGGGCGACTGTAGTTCCATACCATAAATGCTTTTATCTTTTTTTAACTGTACACTCATCCCTCCACATTTGTGGATTTGATTTTGGTGGATTTAATTATTCACGGATTCTATTAATATGTTCTCTCTGGGTCCTCCAGCGCAACTCTATGGTCAACTTTTGTCACACTGAAGAACCTAGAGATTCCTAGAGAGAACCCTCCACTAGGCATTTGTAGTTCCTCCAGCGCAACTCTATGGTCAGTGTCTGGCCGATGTTGACCATAGAGTTGCACTGGAGGACCTAGAGATTCTAGAGAGAACCCTCCACTAGGCATTTGTAGTTCCTTCAGTGTAATTTTATGATCAACTTCTGGCAGATGTTGACCACAGAGTTGCAGTGAAGGAGCTAGGGATTCCTAGAAAGAACCCTCTACTAGGCATTTGTAGCTCCTCCAGCGCAATTCTATGGTCAGTATCTGGCAGATGTTGACCACAGAGTTGCACTGGAGGACCTAGAGATTCCTAGAGAGGTGTTCTCTCAGGTAAAAACAGTGTTTTTGTTATTTGCGGTTTTTCCACATTCACGGGGGTCCTATACCCCTAACCCCAGCAAATGTGGAGGGACAGGTGTATTAATTTTTAAACAAACAATATGGTAATAGTTTCATTCCATGTTAAAGGTCTCTTTTGTACGTTTTTGGGTGTACCGTGCTTTTAGATCATAAGCCGCTTTGAATCCCAATTGTGGGAGAAAGCACAATACAAATAAATATAATAATAAATATACATATAAATATAAATATAAATATAAATATAATAATAATAATAATAATAATAATAATAATAATACAGTGGGCCCTCCCCATTCTCTGGGGTTAGGGGCACAGGATTCCAACGAAAGTGGAAAAACCGCAAATTAAAAAAACCAAACCTCTATTTTCTTAACCAGAAATCCTTCTGAACGATTCTATGGTCCACTTCTGGCATATTTGGATCACAGAATTGTGCCGGAGGACCTAAAAATGCCTAGAGAAGTGTTTTCTCTAGGAATCTCTAGGTCTTCCCTTGTGACTCTATGGTCAAATTCCAGCAGAGAACCTATTAATCAAATCCATAAATAATCAAAGTTGCAAAAGTCAAAGCTGCAAATATGGAGGTTCGACTGTAATAATAATAATAATAATAATAATAATAATAATAATAATAATAATAAAAAATACCAGAAGATGTTCATTGTCAGAACTAAACAACAAACACAAACATCCTCTAACGGAGGCTGGGAAGCCTTTTTGTTGTGTCCCCCGCCTTGAGGCTGAGAGCATGTGGCTTGCCCAAGGTCACCCAATGGGTTTCCATGGCCGAGCCAGGATTCGAACCCTGGCCTCCAGACTTGTAGTCCAACGCTCAAACCACTACGCCTCGCTCGCTGAGAAGCCCACGGAGAAACTGTTGCCATATCCGAATCCACTTACCTTAGGGGTCTCCCCCTTGGAGCCCGGAGGGAGGCGGAGGATCCAGAAGTCCCGGTTCTTGAGCAGGTTCTCCATGTTCTCCAGCCTCTTCTGGAGCTGCCCATACTCCTGGACGAGGGTCCCCAGGGCAGCCAGGCTGTTGGTGAACTCCGCCAGGGCCTTCTCCGTGCCAGAGAGCTTCTTCTCAGCTGAGCCGGTCCTGCGTTCGAGGCTCAGGAGACGTCCCGCATGGAGGTCCACCTTCCTCTCCACCGCCTGTATGGCGGCCACCACCGTCCAGAGGGAGATCTCCGTGGCCTGGCGGTGGACCGTCACCTCGTCCTCTTTGTCCACGTTGCACCGGCCCTTGGGACGGAAGTAGGCGGGCGGCAGAGGGGCCATGCGCCAGTCCAAACCCTGTGCGCGACGGAAGAGTAGAGGTCAAGAACAGGAAGAACCAACAGCATGGCATAAACTGACCACCATCATCCCCATCATCCCCATGACCAAAGATGGAGGAAGATGGAAGAGATGCCCGGGTATTACAAGCATTATTGTTATTATTGCAAGTGGATCTCCATTAAGAGAGAGCCAGGGTGGCATCATGTGGGACTATGACTCTGGAGACCAGGGTTCGAATCCCGGCTCAGCCATTGAGTGACCTTGAGCAAGTCACACACTCTCAGCCTCAAGGGAAAGCCACGGCAAACCTCCTCTGAACAAATCTTGCTAAGAAAGCCCCATGATAAGATTCGCCTTAGGGTCACCCTAAGATGGAAAGGACTTGAAAGCACACAACAACAAGGTATCCATAGGCACATATATGTGTGTATAATATAGCATATAATATATATTAAACATGCACATACACACACACACAAAGTTAGCCCTCCATATCCATAGAGGTTTAATAGGTTTGCCTTAGGGCCTCCGTAAACTGGGAACGACTGGAAGGCACACAACACACACAAAAGACACACCTCTCAATAAAATCGGTGTGTTTCTGAGCATGACTTCTTGGACAGAAAATCTGGTAGAGAGAGAGAAATTACATGGAAAGAGAATGGAGATAGGTTTGCGGTTGTTGCTGTGTGCCTCCAAGTCATTTCTGACTTATGGAGACCCCAAGATTTGTTGAGAGGAGGTTTGCCATTGCCTACCCCTGAGGCTGAGAGAGTGTGACTTGCCCGAGGTCACCCAGTGGGTTTCATTTTAGTTTGTAATATTTCATGTGAAACAAACAAATAGAAACATTAAGTAATAATTACAAGACAGCAATTATCGCTGTTGTTGTATGCTTTTGAGTTAATGATAAGTAATAATAATGTTAGTTTTAAATATTTACCGTGAAACTAATAGAAACAAATAATAACAACAACAACAGTAGCTGTGGTTGTAAGCCTTCAAGTTGTTTCTGATTTATGGCACCCTAAAGCAAATCTATTCTGAGGATGAGGACGACAACAACAACAACAACATTAGTTTGTAATATTTAATGTGAATCTAATGGATAATGAAGATGATGATGATGATGATGATGATGATGTTATTGTTGTTGTTGTCTGATTTATGGCAACCTGAAAACAAGGCTATCCTGGGGATGATGATGATGATAGTTTGTAATATTTCATGTGAAACTAATAGAAACATTATTATTATTATTATTATTATTATTATTATTATTATTAATTATAGCTGTTGCTGTATGCCTTCAAGTTGTTTCTTATTTATGGCAACCCTAAGGCAAATCTATCCTGGGGATGATGATGATGATGATAATAATAATAATAATAATAATAATAATAAAATTTATTTATACCCCGCCCATTGGTAATCATAATAGCAGCTGTTTTTGTATGCCTTCAAGTTAGTTGTTTCTTATTTATAGCAACTGTAAGGCAAACCTATCCTGGGAATAATGATGGTGATGATGATAATGTTAGTTTGTAATATTTCATGTGAAATAAACATAATAATAATACTCATCATCATCATCATCATCATCACTGCTGCTGTTGTATGCCTTCAAGTTGTTTCTTATTTATGGGGACCCTGAGGCAAACCCATTCTGGGTATAATGATGATGATGATGATTAATAATAATAATAACAATAACAATAACAACAATGCTTAAGAGAGATTAGCCACCTTTCCCAGCCCATTCTTCCCCATGGAGGAATGTGGGGAGAGGAGGAGGAAGACCTAATGCAAGAACCCCTGCTCTGTTGCTGCTGCTGCTGCTACTGCTGCAGCCCTCTGTGCCTCTGAGCTTGTGCAGAGTGCCCTAAGCA